GCCACGATCAGCACCGTTTCCGCCGGAGCAGAGTGTGCACGCGGAGGAGGCGTGGAAGGGAAGGTGTTGTGCTAGGTGGCGGCCAGAGCTTTGAAGGCCCACAGAAGGTCAGGGAGAGACATTAAGTGTGGCTTTGGGACAGGATTTGACCAACAAATGCAGCTTACTTAGAACATGAGGCTTCTGGATTCTGATCCAAACCATCGTCTGGGACATACACACATACACACAGACACACACAGACCCTACTTTCATGAGCCATTTTGCACTTCTGTTCTCTCTAGGCCTTTAAGACCTCTCACTTCTCTGGAGCACAGAGGTCAAAGCCTCCACATTCGACCTCCAGCCACTCCCTCCCCTCACCCATCCACAGGCTACAGTTCACGATTGTAGGAAGGAACCTGCAGGGAGCAGCCTGCTGGCCTCCGGCCCCACTCCAGCACCACGAGCCACACCCACTCCTGATGAGGTGCTGATCTATGACCAGGGTGCAAATTCCAGGGCTTGCTAGTCCGCCATTTCTCCAGACCCCAGACGCACCCCAGCCCGCCCACCTGGGGAAGCTGCCTTCTTTACGGATCCCAGCCTGCCCAGCTGCACTGTCCCCAGGTGTGGACTGACTCTGGAGGGAAGAGGACGGGATCCTAGCAGCCCTGCCCTGGGCATGGCCCTAGATCTGCTCCCCTGGCCACCGCAGGCTAAGAAGCCATCACCCTCCTCTGATGAACTACTATCCATCCTTCAAGACCCATCTCCAACCTGCCCAGCCAAAATCAAGTCCCCTGTCCCTGTCCCTAGAGTGCTCTGCAGCACTGCCCCTCATTCACCTTGGCCCCTGCTCCCCGTAGCTGGACCACAAGCTCTAAAACAGCAAACCTCGTGCATCTCTGTTACCCCTAGAGCTCCCCGCTCAGGGCCAAGTGCTCGGGAGTGGCCCTGTGTCTGGGGTTGTGCACATGACCAGGTTCACCGCTCCCCCTCCCCAGGCATGCATTCCCATGAAGGAACTCTTTACAGCCCACAGCATCATGGAGAGGGGCTACCTCTGAAGGAGCCCAAGTCTACCCCGTACCAGCTTGGAAGTTGGGGCCACTTAACCTCTGCAGGCCTGGGTTCCTTCATCTGAGTAAGAAGGGCAGCAACCTCCAACTGTGGGACCATTGTGGTATATACCTGTCATATAATAATTGCAGCCAGACATAAAACAAGCCAGCTGCCCTTGATGGGCTGCTCTCCTCACCTCCGACTCACTCACTCTTCAGTCCACTGCAGTGTGGCTTTTGCTGTGAAACTGCCGCCACCAAGGACACCGAGACCTGCATGCTGGCCGAGCCAAGAGGGCTGTCCTCAAGCTTCTCCCCCTTCACAGCACTGACCCCACTGCCCATCCCTTCCCCGGGCTTCCGCTGAATAAATGCATCAGCTGATCTGCTTAGTTACCCCTTCTATCGCCTCGCTGCAGACCCACGTGCACCGATGGGCCTCTGGGCAGCACCACCAGGGCGTCTCCAGTGCACCCCAAACTGTATGCCTCCACACTGAACTCGCCTTCCGTGTTCTCCTCGGTGCCAGACCACCTCTCCGCTCCTTTGAGCAGGTGGCCCCGAAACCCTGGATTAGCTTCCTGCTGCTGCCATGACAAACCGCCACAAACGCAGCAGCTTCAAACAGCACACATTTATCAGCCCACATCTCTGGAGGTCAGAAGCCCTAAAACCAAGACCTCAGGGGGGCTGAGCTCTTCCTGGAGGCCCCACAGAAGAATCTGCCTTGTCTTTCCCAGCTCCTGGAGACTCCTGCCTGCCTGCCGGGCCCCTTCCTCGCTCTTCAAGGCCAGCAGGAGAGCACCTTCCCATCTTTGTTCTCTAACTCTGACTCTCCTGCTTCCCTCTTGGAAATACGCTTGTGATTACACCGGGCCCAACTGAATAATCCAAGACAGTTTCTCCATCTTGAGATCCTTAATATAGCCACATCTATAAAGGCCCCTTTGCCATACGATAACACGTTGCAGGGATCGGGACGCAGGTAACCTTGGGGGGGCGTTATTTGGTTGACTGAGCTTACCCCCTGTATCTGCCCCAAACCACCAGGATGCCCCTCCAGTGACAGGAAAAATAAATGTCGACCCACCTCCCTTCCACATGCAATGCCTCCATCTGAACATTCTCAGGTAATGTAAAAGCTTATCCATCATGGCTGAACTCCACTCTAAGACTCCTCCCACTGGGTTTTTTAAAGATGTTCGAGTCTGTCCTCCACAAACTCCCTGACCCCATGTCTTCCTCCACTGTCACCTTCCCATCTCCTATTCTCTCCCCCACTTCTTCCCTCTAATCAAACACCTGAGAAATGACTCTACTGCCACCTCCATCCTGACAAGGTCTCCGTCTCGTCACTCACCTGGGAGGGCTCTCGGGCTCGGTACCATTGACGCTGGAGGCCCGGCCACTTGCTGCTGTGGGAGGCTGGGCTGTGCAGTATAAAACAGTGAGCAGCCTGCCTGGCCTCTGCCTTCCAGATGCCATAGCACGTCCCCATCCTGAGTTGCGGAGGCTAAATGTGTGTCCAGACATGGCCAAATGTGCCATGGGTGGAGATGGGGAGAGCAAACTGCCCCGGGTTGAACACCATTGTCTTAGAGTGATGGCACCTGCTGAAGTGGCCGATGACTTCCCTGGCACTAAATCCAGCTGCCACTTCTAAGTCCTTCTCCTGCTTGGCTTCTCAGCAGACTCGGACACTGTGGGCCATTCCGGCCACCCATCTCTCGGCCACTCTGTCCCCCTTGCAGGGCCGGGCCCCCCTTCTGAACCACTAACTGCTGAAGTTCCTCAGAGCTGAGTCCCAGGCCCCCTCCACCTCTCGCTCAGCCCGTACTCCCTGGCGATTGCCGCCCACACCCCTGGCCTCTCTGACCACCTCTGCACAGGTGACTTAAGAAGTGACATCTCCAAACCTCCTTTCCAAGCTCCAAACCCACATTTCTAACTGCCTCGTCCACATCACCACTAGGATACTGCATGCCGCCCCACCTCAGCGAGTCCAAACCAAGACCTGGATCTTTCCCTCAACCCTGCCCCCTTCCGCAGACTCCCATTCCCAGAGAAAGGCCCCATTCCTGACCTGCTGGGAGAGAAGCCCCGCCCCGGCTGTTCTGGACACTTGCCTCTCCCTTACTTAGGCCAGTTAGCCTATTTCCAAGTCAAATGTCTTTCATCTCTGAAATAGTTCACCAGCCACTTCACTTGCCTTCCTGTCTCTGCTCCCTCCCTGGCCAAAGCCTCTACCATGATCGACTTAGAGAATGGCCACAGCCCTCTAACTTGGGTGTGGACATCCATTCACCACCCCCCCCATTCATTTTCCATGCTGCGGTGAAATCACCCTTTCAAAATGTAAGTAAAATTTCCCATTGTTCTTAAAGAACAAAAATCCCAATTTGGACCATTGGGCTTTAAGTGGCCAAGCCTGCACTTGCTTCTCCGGGTCCTTGTGTTGGCTGTGCTCCAGGCACATGGATCTTCTCTCTGTTGCTCAGACACACTGTGCTCTCTCCTGCCACAGGGCCTTTGGGCGTGCTTTCCCTCCCATCTGGTTATCCCTCACCGGTCTTCCCCTGGTGGGTCTTCTCTCCCTTCAGTCATAGCTCCACCACCCGGAAGCCCTCCCCATGGTCTTCTTATCCCCGAGCCTGCCGTCCTCTTTTGTCCCACACCCCCCATCTCTGTTCACGTTGGACTCTGAAGAGTTGTCTCGGATAATTCCTCTTCATATCATTGAAAACTCCTCTTCTGCACCTCCACATCCCATCCATTAATAAATCCTGGGGATTCTCCCTCCTGAATCTCTCTCACATGTGCCCACCTCTAGCACCTACATTTAAACCACCCTCCTTCCTTACCCAGACCCCCACCCCAGCCGCCCCCTTAGAATCCCAATTCTGCAAGTCGCATGTCACTTGAAAGGCTTCAGTGGCATCCCTGGCCCACGGGAGGGACAATGCACGGACCCTGGCTTATGAGACCCAGCAGAATCTGGTCCCCGCCTTGCTCTCCTTGCCACTCAGCCTTTCTGGCTCGTCGCTGTCACCAGATGGGACTTCTCGGAATTCCTCCCTCTCAGCCATTCTGCCCGCACGGAGCATTTTTTCATCCCCCTCCACTCTCCCTCCACCACTGCTACTCACTCTTCAAGTCTCTGGCTGAAGGAACTCTTGCCCAAACTGCTCACATAGGCCAACAACAACAGTAATGGCTGATATTCACTGCAGACTTACTAAGGGCAAGCACTGACTCATTTAATCCTCACCATTAGCCACGATTATCCTGTTAAAGAACAAGCGCGCAGAGGTTAAACGACTCGTCCAAGGGCACGTAAGATAGTAAATAGCAGAGCTGGATGACATAATGAACTTGGGCTCCAGGCCGCAGACTCCCGGACACTATGAACACAGCCACGCTCCATTGTTCCCAGTGTCCTGTGTCCCCCTTCAGCAGTGTCACCGCACGTGCATGTGCTTGTTCGGTGCCTGCTCCATCCACCACGACTGTCCGCTCCCTGAGGCCCTGGACCCTGTCTGTCTTATCGGAGGCTTTCCCTCCAGCACCAGACTTTACTGCTTTGCAGCTGAATGTCATGCTTTGCATCCCCACAGCCTCCAGCTCCAAGTCACCAGCTCCAGAGGAGGGCCTGGGAAAAGGCTTCATAAATGCCACTGAGTGGCCCACCAGACACACACAGGGAGGACAATCAGGGAGGTCACCCCCCCACTGACTCTGCTGACATCAGCCAGAGGAGCCCTTCAGCATGGCCCTCAGCCACCAAGGGTTGCCACCACTTAGCTAAGGCAAGGGGGACAGCAGGATTCATCATCCACCTGCCCAGGAATGATGGCAGAAAAGTTCTGGAGCCAGGCTAGGCCAGCGGATGGCTCCCCCTGCTGGTTCCCTTCCATGTTCCTGGGCGCCCTCTCGCATGACACTGCCAGGGACACTCACCAGCCAGGAGAAGAAGCCGGCTGATTTGTCCTGGGTGGAGATCTGCCCCTCATAGGGGCCGAAGATGTGGCCTTTGGGGATGACCTCATTTATGCACCGCACGTCATCCTCCCCATTGGCGTCCTTGACCACCTCCATGCCCTGTGGGATGGTGAGGGCAGCCCGGTCTGGGATGCCCACGGGCACTGGCGTGTCGGGCACGAACACCGGGGGACCATGGTTCGGGCATTCGTCCACAAAGTACTCCTGGCAGGACTCGCAGACTGGAGAGATGGAAAGAGGAGAAACTCAGTTGTTGGGGGAGGCTGAGGGGCTGAAGGGAAGCCCACCCTGAGGACAGCATGGGACAGTGGAAAGCACCGCATGGCACTCCGGAGCCCCAGCCCTGGCTCCACCCCAGCCAGCTACAGGCCGCTGAGTCTTCAATAGCAATAACCCAGTACCCTCCCTGGGGGCTCAAGGACATGCCTGCCAACACTAAGGAAGCCAGTAGCTCCCTTTGTTTCAAGTCTGATAAAGTAGAAGAAAGAGCACTCTCTGGAGTCAGATGGGTGTGGATTTCAATTGCAACTGTGCATCTGCGGGCTGTGGGACCTGAGGCAGGCAGGGTTCTTAACCCTCAGCAAACCTCAGTCTCCTCACCTGGAAAATGGGACCACCTCAGTGGCTAATGGGGAGAATTGGCTAAAGCACAGACTTGTGTCTGGCACATAACAGGTGAGTGATGATCATGATCATTAGTATTACCCCTGCAAATTGCCTAAGCAAGACGAGGCCGGCCGTTGGGAACAAAGGGAGGAGTAGCCCAGCAAATAGCCCCAAGCTCCACTTACACCAGAAGTCCACTTGCTGGAAACTTTTGGGCATGATGAGGTCACGCTTCCCCTTCAGTTTCTTGTGCTCCACTTCCATGGCCGAGGGGTCTGGTCTCCTAGAGCTGGCCAGGACAGGGGCCATTGAAGGAAGCAAAGAAGCCATCAGAGAGGGAGAGGGTGGCAGGCAGAGAAGCCCAGGCCGCAGGAGCAGGGCCGGTGGGTTGGTGCAGTGGGTGGTGGGAAGGGAGGGGGCCTGAGGCCTGGGCCTTTTTGGGCCACTCCCTGGGTTTTTCCAAAGCCTGAGCTCACCTCTGGTCCCAAGAGCTGTGCGGAGAAGGATAAGGAAGGTGGGCAGGGAGTGGGAACTTTCTGCGGGGTCTCCCACCAGCCCGACCAACCCAGCCCAGTGACTCCCTGTCTCCCGCTCCTGTCCCCACACAGCGGCCTCACCAGGGCTGGCCATACTCCTGGTCTCGGAGAGGCGAGCAGACCTCTGTCTTCACCACGGTCACCATGTCCCCCACGGCAGCCTTGGTCTGTGCCAAGCGCTCCTTCATGTTCTCAGTCATTCTGTTCTGGGGTCGGGAAGGCGGGACCAGCACAGGAAAAGGATCAAAGAGACAGGGGAAGAGGGGTGAGTGTCAGAGAGGGCAATTGGGGGTCCGCGGAGTCTGGTTACCCTCCCTGCCATCCCCAGAGGAAGCGCTTGAGAACACAGACAACAAAAACAGCTGTGGCCTGGCCAAGAGGAAATGCCATTTCTATCCCGGGCTGGTCCTGGGGACGACTGGAGCCACCAGCCCCATGGGGTCAGGGGCCAGGGGCAGCTCAGGCCAGGAGCCAGCGCTGGACAGCACAGTCTAGACCTCAAAATCAAAGGGCAAAGGGTATAAGGAACCCACAGGAGCCTCCGCACAAAACTCTGCAGTGGGGAACAGAGGATGGATCGACTCAAGTCTAGCTGGGGCCAAGGGGCGCGGGCTAATGAAATGGGCCCTCAGTGCCTCGCATTGAAGCCCCTAGCCCAGGGGCTGCCAGGGAATGCAGCCAAGCCCGCTTGGCCAGCTCAGAGCAGGTACAGGCGGAGTCTGGGGGTCCTGGGGTGGGCTGGCCCTGACTCGAAGCCCCACCCCGCTCTATCTAGGGGAGTCTTCCCAGTCGCCGCTTACCGCCCTCCTCCACAACTGCGCCGGGCTTCAATCCCTCCCTCGGCACCCCAGGGTCCTCATGCCAAGCCCGGGACACTCTTCGGGCAAGGGCAGGGAAGCGCGCAGCTCGGGCTGGGACCGCGCTGGCCCCAGGACTGGGCGAGCAGCGTGTGTGACTCACTACCCGGGGCCCCGCTGGCCACACCCCTGCTCCTCGGCTAATCAGCCCCCTGCTCCCCACCGGGGCCCCAAAGCCAGCGGCGGCAGGGAGGGGTGTGGGGAAACATGACGGCCTGCCCCCTCCTCCGAGCCGGCGGGGACGAGGGGGGGCGCGGAAAGGGGCGGGGGCTGCCCGAACCGGGCCGAGCTACCCCGCTTTAGCCCAGGAGCGCGCTGGTCGTCCCGTCCGCGTGTCGGGCAGGGAAAGTGTGAGACGCCGCGATCAGGCCGAGGCGGCGCTCGGGTCGGACGCGGGGGCTACGCGGGCGGCCGGGGAGGGCGCAGGCTGGCTCTTTCCCTGTCACCAACCTTCCCGGTGGGGCGCTCCCTGCCCGGCCCGGCCGAGCCCGGCCCTGCCCAGCGCCCGCCCCCCGCCCGCCGGGCCCGGCATTCCTTGCGGGGGCATGTGGCTTCTTGCCGGCCCCGGGGGCACGCAGTTGGCTGGCGGCCGGGAGGGGGGCGCGCGGGGAGCGGGAGGAAGCGAGCTCCCGGGAGGAGCGGCGGGAGGGGCCCCCTGGGAGGAATTCCAGCCCCTCTCGCAGGCTCTGCCCCCACGCGGGCCTGGGGGCGCCGGACGGGCGTCTGGTGCGGGTGATAGAGCGGGGGAGGCTGGGCCCTGTGGCACCGCGGGTGGTGGTGCAGGTCTGTGAAATGCGCGAGCAGCTCTCGGCGCGCCCTCCTGGCCTCCGCAGCCGAAGCGCTCCCTCTGCAGAGCGGCCTGCTGCGCTACGTGAGCCGCCAATGCCACTCAACTCGCCGGCCGCGCACCGCACACCCGCCCGGCTTCCCCACCTGCGCGGCCTAGGGTGCGGGCCTGGCGCCTGCAGTTCGCCCGCTTCCCGCCACCCGCGCCACGCTGGGTGGTGCTCGGCCGATCTCATGGCCTGTGGATAGACCCCTGCCTCCCGTGAGTGGCAGGAACCTAGGGGCTGGAAGGTGTCAAGTGAGTTAGTTGCCCAGGGGACAAGCAGCCTATTCCTGGTGACGTCTGTACTGGAGCCTGGGGCCCTATCCGAGTAAATTGGAAACAGAACCCCCAAACTCAAGCGTGAGGTCTGAGGTCTGGTTTTCCTCCATGTCATACCCTCTGCCAGGTCCCCTGACAGAGGGATCGCCAGGATCACCCTGGGGTGCGTTCAGGCCTCAACACACTTGTCAAGCTGCCAGGTGGGGACAAGAACCAACGCATTTGAAAGGGATCGCTGAACACCCCTGCCCTGAGGAGCTCTCTCACTTGGGCGACAACATCCACACACAAACATTCTGAGGCAGTCGTGTGTCGTGGTCAGGAGCCTGGGCTCCAGAGCAGCAGCGCTGGTATTCAAATCCCACTGAGCTGTACGTGCCCCGCGGCAGGTGTGCTGGACTGAATACCCACACCTGCCCTCCCCAAATCATATGCTGACGCCCCAAACCCCACATGCCTGTATTTGGAGACACGGTCTGCTAGGACATGGTAAGAGTTAAATGATGTCCTAAGGCTGCGGCCCAGATCCAGCAGAGCTGCCGCCCTTGCAATACGAGGGGAGAGGAGGCACGAGCTTGCTCTCTCCACCCAGCGAAGAGCGTGGGAAGGCCACAGTCTGCGCGAGCCAGGAAGAGAGGCTTCACCAGGAACAGAGTTAGTCTGCACCTTGATCTTGAACTTCCCAGCCTCCAGAACTGGGAGAACTGTCTTGTTTAAGCCACCCAGTCTGCGACGTTTTGCTATGGCAGCTGAGCCAATTAAGATAGCAGGTTACCTAACCTCTGTGCTCCGACTTCTTCGCATGGAGAATGTGGCTAAGATCAGATTCTACCACAGACATGGCCGTGCTACACTGAGATGAGTTCGAAGGGAGCCAGGCTCCGTCTGAGCACTAATCCCTTGGAAGAAGGCTGATCCGGAAGGTGGACAGGAGGGACCTCATTGGGGGTGGGGAGGCTTCGAATTCTCTCCACGAACTGGATTTGTCATTGTCATTGTTGTTGTTTTAATCAGTCATTAGCACACTCTGGCACCATATTAGACACATTGCTTGGGACCATTTTACACCGGACTTCCCTGCAGTGGCCCTTCTGCCCTCTGCCAGCCTCACCTGTATGCCATGCCCCACCCCGCCATGAGGCCCGCGAACTTGCTGTGCCCCCCACCTGTACCCATATGGAAACTCCTACCCCAACCTTTAGCTTTCACTGTCCCCCCTCCACAATTCCCTCTCCAGCCCCAGTGCCCTTTCCTCATGGCACTTGTCACACTTGGAATGGTCATTCATTAGCCTGGTTGTTTGATTAATATCTGTTTCCCATAATAGATCATAAGCTCCCAAGGGCAAGGTGCGGGCCCTTTTGCTCACCTTTGATTGCCAGCACCTGTAACAATGCCCAATGGCAGGGCAGAACTAGCCCAGGCAAGCAAGGTGCCAGGGTGTAAAATGGAAGAGCACCCACTCTCGGAGTCATGCACTTGCAAGAATGGCACCCAGGGGTGAGTGTCTTCTCCAGTTTTGCACCCTGGGGGCCTTGCTTGCCTTACCCTGGCTTCAGCCTTGCCTGGCATGTAGCGCACTCCCAGTAAATGTTTTCCAAACGACCCATGTCATAATTCCCCTCCCCTCCTCTAATATATATGTCCTGCTGGCCCTGTTGAGAATCTTAGCTCTAAAAAAGACCTTAGAAGGAGAGACATGGCAGGGAGTACTGTTTTGAATCCTCTTAGGATGCTGTCTTAGTGATTTTTGCCAGGTAAGGGTGCTGGTCTTGAGAGGCAGTGAGGTGCAGTAGAGGGTGTGGTGGAATCAGACTCGTGAGGCCTGGAGCCTGAGTGTGACAGTGAGTTGTGCAGCACACCTGTGTGACCGTGGGCACATCACTTAAACCAGGAGGTCCCGACCCCTGCTCCACGGCCTGTTAGGGACCAGGCTGCCCAGCAGGCCAGTGAGAGAACCTTTGTCCCTCCCTCCCGCTGCTCCCCATCGCTGGTCTAACCGCCTGAGCTCCACCCCCACCCCATCCTTGGCTTCCACGAAACCTCTCCCTTGTGCCAAAAAGGCTGAGGACCACTGACTTACACTCTCTAGGCCTTAGTGTCTTCCTGGTAAAGGGGAAATGATCCTAATTGCCCACGTGGGGATCCAGGTTGTCCCCACGAGGAGTACCTGCGATAAAGGTGGGTTTGTAAGGAATAGTATCGTTAAACAGGCTGCCCAGCAGTAAGGGGGTGAGTGAGAGGAGGAGACGGGAGGGAGGGAGGGAAGAGATTAACGAAGAGGGAAGGGAAGCAGGAGAGGGGACAGGACAGTGGGGAGAAAACAGTACGTGGAAACGGGAGGAAGCCTGAGAGAGAGACGAAGACAGAGGGAGAAGGCACAGACATTTGTCTAAGTCTCAGATGGTTCCAGGAAAACCATCCGCTTCCGAGGAAAGCACTCGTCTGTATCTCGAAGTAGAGAGCGCCACAGGCCACGGCCTTTCACGTCTTATTTTTATTTACAGCCCACCTTCCTCACATTAGAGAACGGTGATGATTTATAACACAAACACATACTCAACAGGAGAGGTAGCTACCAGAGACCTCGTGGAGAAAGAGTAAAGCCAATTATACCAAGAACCTGTTTTGAGATGGTTAGTGATCTAGATTTCCAGTCAGTTCTGAGCCTCCTAGCAACTAAGGCAAAAAAGGAAACATGATGGGTTACAGAGGACTTGCTATTTGACACCTATTTATTGACTCTTTGCACAATTAAGTTCTCTCCGTTCTTGGAGGAGTCCAGTTAGTTGCCTGGAGAACCAAGATCAAGCCTTGCTTGCAAGACCGATGTGTATTACTACCCCTGTGTCTGTACGGAAGGCCGTGGGGGCAGGTATGGAGAAATGGGATGTGGCAGAATCAGTGAATTTGAACTTGTGTCTTTCACCGAGTCCATCCCAGTGGGCACTGTAAGGCCTGAGCAGGTGCAGCTCCCCAAACCATTTCTGCAGACTCCTGTGGCCCTGCTTGCCCGGTGAGGGCCCTGGGGGAGGCGTGGTGAGCAGGCCTCGTGGAGGACTCCGAGCTGCTGGCAGTGGTCCCTCTCAGCTGGCTCCTCCGAGTCTGCACATGCAGAGATTAGGCATGTTGCAAACCCAGCAATGAGATGCAAACCAAGAGGAGGGGGCAGAATGTGGCCCGGGAGGCTGCAGCTCTGTTTTCACCCTTGGCAGCACGCCAGGGTCCTGGAATGCCCAGC